TTTTTTTTTTTTTTTTTTTTTTTTTTTTTTTTTTTTGAGATAGAGTCTTGCTCTGTCTCCCAGGCTGGAGTGCACTGGCATGATCTCAGCTCACTGCACCCTCCGCCTCCAGGGGTCAAGCAATTCTCCTGCCTCAGCCTCCTGAATAGCTGGGATGGCAGGTGTGCACCATCATGCCCAGCTAATTTTTGTATTCTTAGTAGAGGCTGGGTTTCACCATGCTGGTCAGCCTGGTCTCAAACTCCTGACCTCAAGTGATCCGCCCTCCTCAGCCTCCCAAAATGCTGGGATTATAGGCATGAGCCACAGCGCCTGTCCTAGAGTGGTCTTTTTGAACCATCCTATCTAAAGGTTACCAGAGGGATCATGGTTCGGTGCTGTTTCAGTTCACCACTGTCAACTTAGAATTGACAGATTAGAATAAATCATTTATTTCCTGTTTCACATCAAGGAAAGATTGAATTCGAAATTATTTTTGAAAGCAGAATGCCTCTGCGATTTTTCCGCTATAGTCAAGCTAAAGGTCTAAATTTCTGGGAAAACTAAAGCATTGATTAAATCTTCTTAATCCTGATTGTGCAGCTGTTTTATGGACTGTTCCAGTCTCAAACCAGCCCTCAGCATAGGACAGTTAAAAGACAATTGTCATTTAAGAGGCACTTGAAGAAATGGGGACTGCAAAAACTCCCCATTGGGGAGCATATAGAGACCCTCCAAAGCAAAATAAAATGATTAAAAACAAAAAGCAAAATGTGACATTCAAACTATCACGACTTAGAAAATCAGGCTAATGCTAATGTGAAGCCATTATTGGATATTTGAAGGTGAAGAAATAAAGCAATTATTTAACCAAGGCTTCTGAGTGCAGCCTGCGAAAGCTTGTGATGTTCTGGCATTCTAAAGTGGCAGAGACAGGACAGAAGTTAGAGGCTTCTTGGTAAAATTGCATGCAAATAGGAATTTGAACTTGCAATAATTCAGCAAGTAGCTGTGTCTGGCAGTTATGCCGAAGACACTGGGGCCAATGGGGGTTCAGTAAGGGTTCTGGCTGCAGTTTGCATACTTGTTCTTCTAGATTTTCAGATGTATTCTCCAAACATTTAATCCCTAAATGACATTTTTCCCCTTCAGTTCCTAAATTAGATTCTCTGTCTGGAGTTCTTAAATGGAGGCCATGGTTCCTTTAGGATCTAAGCATGGACTCGGTGAAGTGCAGGCAACCTCCTCGTCATGGCCTACAAGCTCCTGTAGGATCAGGCGCCTCTACCTCTGGGATTTTGAAAGGAATAAAAATTAGAAACTTAATAAAAATTAGAAACTTAAGTTAGGCCATTTTGAAACCTAGAAAAACAACCCACTCAGACCCACCCAACACCAGATGGCCCCTTAATAAACACCCAATATCCCCGGAACGCAAACAGAAAAATAATTCCAGGAAAAACCCCTCATATGAGCCCACCCCAACCAATCAGAGAACTAGCCTACCCCAACCAATCAGAAAAGACACACCCTGCTCGCACCATAGCTGGCTCCAATCATTTTGAACCTTAAGCCTTGTTTGAATCTCAGGCCTCAAGCTTTGTTTGAATTTCGCGCCTTGTTTGAACCGGTGGTGTTTGCCTATATAAACTACCTGTAACAAGCAATCGGGGTCCTTTGCCACCTTTGTGCAGAGGACCCTAGCGCGCTAGTAATAAATCTCTCTGCTGTGACTCCCGTATTGAGTGGTCTCTCGAGACGACCCCCTATCCCAGGAAGGAATCTAAACCTAGGTTCCAACAATTTCACCTCTTGCTCTCTCCTCTACTCGCTCTGTTCCTCCCATACCAGTTCTCTCTGTCTTTTGAAAACACTAAACACATTTCTGCTTCAGGCACTCTGAACTTACTGCCTAGGATGCTTTTCCCCAGATACTAGCATTCAGGTCCCTGGCCAAGATGCCTCCATAGACACAACAATTTAAAAGAGCCACTTCAAACCTTCCTCCACCCAATCCCTGTATCACGTGGCTGCAGTACACTGTCCTAAGGCATGTATCATAGCTGACATGCCTGCTTTATTTACTTGGTGGTGGTTTGTCTTCCAACACGATAATGAAAGCTCCACAAGGCAGGGATCTTTGCTATCTTGTTCCTCACTCTGTCATTAGCACCCAGAAAAGATACTTGGTGTGCATTAAATAGGTATTCACTGAATGAATGCACAATTGCTCTAAAATTGTATGCATAGGGGTGTGTGTGTGTGTGTGTGTGTGTGTGTGTGTGTGTGTATGTATGTATGTATTTTTCCCCTGGGCAAAGTCCCTGGCTTTAAAAAGAGATTGATAACACCTCTAAGAGTCATTTAATAAATCATCAGGGTAGAAATTCTGGAGTCTTGCAACTTGCCACCAAAACATGGTCCCCAGAGCAGTAACTCTGACATCACTTTATAGAAATGAAGTTTCTCAGACTTCACCCCCGAGACACAATCTTAAATATACATTTTAACGAGATACTCAAGTCACTTGTATGCACATTAACATTTGAGAAGTACTGTTCCCAGGCAAGTAAAATACCGTAATTTTAGCTCACATTCTTCATAAGGTCTTGGCTGGATATATTTTCAAGGGAAAACAAATGCCTGTTAAATACTCAAACAGAAGACACTATAAGGCTTAAAGTTTAAAATGGAGTTTTGAATCTCCTGCAACTGAGGTAGGAGACCAGCAGAACTTGTTTTCTGGTCACAACCCTGCTGACCAGAACAGGATCTGGCCCAGGCAGTATAAAGTGAAGAAACCAGCAGGGACAAGGAGATGTCAAGGGAAGCAATCCTCAGCTGTCTTCATCGTTCATTAGCATAACCCACTCCCATAGTGCCATGACAGTTACAAATGCCATGGCAACAACCTGGAAGTTACTGTCACTTTCCATGGCAATGACCCAGAAGTTACCACCCCTTTCCTAGAAAGTTCTAAATAATCTGCCCCTCAATCTGTATTGAGCCTCCCCTTAATTTGCATGTAACTAAAAGTGAGTTTAACTGGGTGTAAATGCAGTTGCCAAGAGCCAATACTTTGCCAACTCTGGGCACATTGTGTATGAATTAGCCCTGCTCTGCAAGAGGCAGTACTATTTACCCAAAGACTGTTGTTTAACACCACCAGCTCACCCTTGAATTCTTCCCTGGGTGAAGCCAAGAACCCTCCTGGGCTAAGCCCCAAGCTTGAGGCCTGCCTGCCCTGCATCACAACCATTTCCAGATCTAACATTATCCTCTATTTATCAATATACTGCTTTTGAAAAACACCATTTGAGCCAATGATCTATTATACCCTACTTCATGAAAGTAGAAACCTGCTTTGTAAGTTCTTAACCTTGGGTGACAATGGAATCACCCTGGGGGGTTGGGTTATAAAAATATTGATGACTAGGCTTCATCCCTGGAGACTAATTGATCTGGGGTGTAGATTGAGCAAAGGTATTTGAAAATGGCTACCAGATGATTCTAATATGCAGCCAAAGTTAAGAACCACCATATTAAATAATAACATCTACTCCCTTTAATCATTCCTCAAAACTCACATTCCCAAAGATGGGTGAGATAGGGAAGGTCAAAAGATCTTAGTTTGATCAAATCTTTAAAGCATTGCTAACTCCTTTTTCCTTTCCCTTGCTCCCTATTGAGGGATTACTTCATAGAGTTTGATTGCACAGGAAAGATTTGGGAAAATAAGTGAATAGAATATATTGAAGT